TTTGATTTATCTTTGCCAGTCCACTTCTACAAATTAAATAAGCCTTATAATATGAGCCTTTTGTGCCTATTATGAAAGCCTGAGTACATTTTTAAACATGTGAGTGCATATAAGGCAGCCTTTTTAAAAAATTAAAGATTTTTTACAGTATTGCACTATTTGTTGTTTTTGTTTTGTTTTCCCTTGTCATCCAATCGTGGGAGTCGTTTCTGGAGGATATTGAGCACAAAGTTATCTGGGAGGACATGCCCAGTCACTTTAAGCTTGTTTGACTCTTTTGCCATACTAGCAAAGAGTCCATTCCATCTGGTGAGTGGGGATAGAGCATTAATCACGGATGGGTGTGAGCACGTTTCTTTTGGGATTGAGCACAATTCATATATTTCTAAAAAAAAAATTTCAGGCCTTTATTGACATTCAAAAATTCACAAGAAAATTATCTATTAAAAGGTATTTTGTGAATAATCCTATCATTAAACATCCTTCTGGCCAATATACTTCTCTTTCCAATGCATCCACCTTCAATCCCCCACCACAGAATAACTCAGCTGTTGGTCTATTTAAAGACCAAGTACTTAAGGATTTAAAAAACCTTCCTATTAAGAGAATATATAAGGATCCTAAAACGGACGCAGCCATTAAATCCCTACTGGAGAAAAAAAGATCTTGTAGTGAGACCAGCGGATAAGGGTGGTGGGGTAGTGATCCTAAATAAGAGTGATTATACAGCAGAAGTATATAACATCCTTGAGGATACGTCAACATATCAATTACTTCATAAAGATCCCTTACTTGAATATAAACGCACTCTTAAGACTATTATTAAAAATGGATATGACAGATTAATTGTAAACAAAAAAGAGAAGGAATTCCTGTGCCCCAAGGCCCCTCACTTGCTGGTCTTATACATCCTGCCAAAAGTGCACAAGAATCCATTAAAACCCCCGGGCAGGCCGATAGTGAGTGGCATCGACTCACTCTGTTCGAGAATAGGTGCTTACATTGATCAGCATCTACAACCACTAGTACTTCATACCCCATCTTATTTAAGAGACACTAAGCATGTCCTTAACTCTATCAAGGACATTTCCATCCCTCCATCTGTTTTTTTTCTGGTGACAGCGGACGTTGAGGCGTTGTATAGTAACATTAACCATAGGGATGGGATGACAGTTGCCAAATATTATCTTACTCACGAGAGTTAATTACTCTCCCCACATATTGATTTTATATTATAACTTTTTTAAACTTTGCCATGTCTAAAAATTACATGTGGTTTGATAACAATTACTATTTGCAGGTTAAGGGGGTTGCCATGGGGGCAAAGTTTGCCCCCAGCCTGGCCAATCTGTTCATGTCCTACTGGGAGGAGGAAATATTTACGCTATGGATTGGCCCGAATTACTCTTTTACAAGCGGTACATAGATGACGTGCTTCTATTTTGGAATGGCACGGAGCAGTCCCTTATTAATTTTTTTACCACTCTCAATAACAATACAGTGAATATTAAATTGTCATATAACTACAGTAATATTGAAATTGACTTTTTAGATCTTACTTTATTAAATTTTAATGGACACATTACTACCAAATCCTTTTTTAAACCCACCGATCGTAATAGTTTTATCCCCCTTGGAAGCTGCCATCATCCTAGTTGGCTGGCAGGTATACCGAAAGGACAATTCCTCAGACTCAGGAGAAACTGCACCAGTATTGAAACTTACCAAATACAGGCCAACATTCTCAAAAAAAGATTCCTTGAAAAAGGTTATGATAGAGAGAATCTGAACGATATTATGGAACTAATAGCTAATACGGACAGACAAGAGTTATTAAGTACTCAAACTAAACCGCCTAAAAATCTGGTCTGCCCATTTATCACGACATTTTCGGTCCAACACAGATCTATCAGACACATAATTAATAAAAATTGGGGGATCTTGAAGGCAGATTCCACTCTGGCTAAGATACTTCCGGAGAAACCTGAGGTCGTTTTTCCGCAAATCGACCACCTTGAGGGATAAAATAGCTCCCAATGTTGTTACTATGCCCACACCACCTCCCACTCTGTTCAGTTACACAGGTTTTTACCCATGTAATAAATGTATTGCCTGCAAGTGTAATGGTGTGAGGAAAAGAAGGATAGATACCTTCACCTCTAACCAAACAAAGAAATCGTATAATATTGACAAATTTATTTGCTGTAATAGCAGATATGTTGTTTATTTACTAGAATGCCCCTGCCTTAAGCGGTTGGGAGGACAACCAGGAGGCTCAGGGACCGCCTTCGTGAGCATGTCAGTAACATAAAGAAGGGGTACAAGGAACATTCCTTGTCCCTCCATTATAGGAAATACCACCACAGTGATCCCACTAGCCTGAGATTTGTGGGCATAGATATAGTAACTTCACACTGGAGAGGAACTTTTAAAACCAGAGCCGTTTCACAATTAGAGACAAAACATATTTACGAATTGGATACTTTATACCCTGCAGGCCTGAACATCGAACTGGATGTCAACTGTTATATTGACAACAGTTGAGTCCGCGATGCTCAGCTAACTATGCTTATAATATTTTCATCATGAGAATCATCTCCACATATTAGCTGGGTATTGGTTATAATTTTACTCTATTTCCTATATATGTATACATCAATTCAGCTTTTATTATTCACACACATACCTAGGAAGGGTTAAGAGGACTTGATTAGACCTTATTTCCAGCTTCTCTACATTCATTGAGATAGTGTTACATACATCTTTGTCATTTGATACATGCGTTTTATTGATACTGGACTAGGCCTCAGGTAGGCCTTTCCATACTCAGTGGGTTAGTGCAAAATGTATTATGATTCCTTTTGCTTTTTATGATATATGTGTCAGGGCTCCCAGGTGTGACCAGAGGTGTGTGATTGACGCAGGGAAACGCAGACTTCAGATATGTGATAAACAATATAATTTATTAACACTAACCATACAAACATAAACGCAGTGCAATACTAAAACATAATACAGTGCAAACAAACCAAACCAACCACCCACAGATAACAGTACATACAAGCAAGCGTCGTCAGGCAGGCCGGGTCAATATCAATAGGGCAGGTAGGTACAGGGGGAGCAAGCGGAGATGGGTCGGGGTCACAGGCCAGGTTCAGCAGGTAGCTAGCAGCGTAGTACAGAGGGTCAGGCAGAGGGATGGTCAGGGTCACAAGCCAGGGATCAGAACAGGTAGCAAGCAGCGTGGTACAGAGGGTCAGGCAGAGGGATGGTCAGGGTCACAAGCCAGGGATCAGAACAGGTAGCAAGCAGGGTGGTACAGAGGGTCAGGCAGAGGGATGGTCAGGAGCGAGCCGGGATCAGAGCAGGAGAAGTCAGCAGAGGTTCAGATCAGGCAGGGTCAGCAAAGTTACAGAAACAGGATGCAGGACAGATACAGGGCCCAGGACAAACACAACACCAAGGCAGAGTCTGCAAGTCTGGCCATCCCTTAAATACACCAGTATCATCAGTTCCAGGTGTTAGCTGGCTGAAAGGTTGAGTCTCTGATTGCTGGGAGCACCCGCTGGCCAGCCCTGGTACTGCAGATCAAAAGGCAGGTGAGTCCCACCATTGCTGGCCAGTCCATTCCTGACAGTACCCCCCCCCTCAAGGAGCGGCCTCAGGACGCTCCAAACAGTCCTAGCTGGGCAAAATGTTCCACCGCCCGGGTCTGGTAACTGGCGGGATATCAAAGACTGGCACAGCGGGCAGGACTCCGGGCAGCGGCACACCGGGCTGGACTCCGGGCAGAGGCACATCGGGCTGGACTCCGGGCAGAGGCACATCGGGCTGGACTCCGGGCAGAGGCACATCGGGCTGGACTCCGGGCAGAGGCACATCGGGCTGGACTCCGGGCAGAGGCACATCGGGCAGGACTCCGGGCAGAGGCACATCGGGCAGGACTCCGGGCAGAGGCACATCGGATTACCAGGCGACCAGGCGCGAAAGCAGCAGGCAGCGGGCCACCAGGCGGAGCAGCGGGCACCGGGCCCCCGGGCGGAGCAGCAGCGGGCACCGGGCCTTGGGCGGGGCGACAGCGGGCAGCGGGCCCCCGGGCGGGGCGACAGGCATCGGGCCCCCGGGCGGGGCGACCGGCATCGGGCCCCCGGGCGGGGGCGACAGGCATCGGGCCCCCAGGGGAGCGGTGGGCATCGGGCCCCCCGGGGCGACAGGCATCGGGCCCCCAGGCGGAGCAGCGGGCGCCGGACCCCCCAGATGGAGCGACAGGTCATCGGGCCCTCAGGCGGGGAGCGGCGGGCGGGCCGGACCCCCAGATGGAGCGACAGGTCTCGGGCCCTCAGGCGGAGCGGCGGGCGCCGGACCCCCAGATGGAGCGACAGGTCTCGGGCCCTCAGGCGGAGCGGCGGGCGCCAGACCCCCAGGTGGAGCGACAGGTCTCGGGCCCTCAGGCGGAGCGGCGGGCGCCGGACCCCCAGGTGGAGCGACAGGTCTCGGGCCCTCAGGCGGGGGCCCCCAGGCGGGCGGGCGCCGGACCCCAGGCGGAGCGACAGGTCTCGGGCCCTCAGGCGGAGCGGCGGGCGCCGGACCCCCAGGCGGAGCGACAGGTCTCGGGCCTTCAGGCGGTGCGACAGGTCTCGGGCCCCCAGGCGGGGCGGCAGGCGCCGGACCCCCAGGCGGAGGAGCGGGACATGCCGGACCCCCTCAGGTCTCGGGCCCCAGGCGAAGCGGCGGGCACCGAGTCACCAGGCACGACAGTGGGCTCCGAGTCAACTGGCATGACCGCTGGCACTGGGTCAGACATTGGATCGTCTGGCTGGACAGCGGGCATCGGGTCACCAGGCATCAGGTCATTTGGCTCGACAGCGGGCACCGCGTCATCTGGCAAGGCAGTGGGCTCCGAGTCAACTGGTATGACCGCGGGCACTGGGTCAGACATTGGATCGTCTGACTGGACAGCGGGCATCGGGTCACCAGGCATCAAGTCATTTGGCTCGACAGTGAGCACCGCGTCATCTGGCAAGGCAGTGGGCTCCGAGTCAACAGGCACGACAGTGGGCACCGGGTCATCAGGTACCGGATTGTCTGGCTCGACAGCGGGCATCGGGTCACCAGGTATGACAGCGGGCACTGGGTCACCAGGCATCAGGTCATTTGGCTCGACAGCGGGCACCGCGTCATCTGGCAAGGCAGTGGGCTCCGAGTCAACAGGCACGACAGTGGGCACCGGGTCACCAGGCATGGGGATCGTCTGGCTCGACAGCGGGCATCGGGTCACCAGGTACGACAGCGGGCTCTGAGTCAATTGGCACGATAGCGGGCACCGGATCAGGTACCGGATCATCTGGATCAACAGCGGGCATCGAGTCAACTGGCCTAATAGGATCGTCAGGCTGGATCAGTTCATCATGCTGGGTAGAGGCATCAGGCTGAATGCCGGCGTCCGGCTGAGTAGAGAGGCTTCAGGCCGAGTAGAGGCTTCAGCCGAGTAGAGGCATCAGGCCGAGTAGAGGCTTCAGGCCGAGTAGAGGCTTCAGGCGAGTAGAGTAGAGGCTTCAGGCCGAGTAGAGGCATCAGGCCGAGTAGAGGCTTCAGGCCGAGTAGAGGCATCAGGCCGAGTAGAGGCTTCAGGCCGAGTAGAGGCTTCAGGCCGAGTAGAGGCTTCAGGCCGAGTACAGGCTTCAGGCTGAGTAGGCTTCAGGCGAGTAGAGGATTCAGGCTGAACCACGGAAGGCAGGTTCACCGGTTTGGATACTGGCAGGATGGTATTGGTTGGAAAGAATTTTCGCTTTTTTCTGGTTTTAACTACTGGAGCACTGCAAGTAAACGCAGGTCTGCAAACGAATGGAGCAGCTGGAGACAGAGAAGAACTGGAGGATGGAACAGGAGAGGGAGCAGTTGCTACAGAGGGCTTTTTTACAGGGTTAAAGGCAGGATAGGTGCAGCGAGTGGGAACAGGGTACTGACATGCGGTAGATAGCCAAGTATACTGGGCTGTAACTGGGGGAGTTGTTGGGAATACAGGAGTAGAGCTTTGAGGAAATAGATTAGAAGCAGGACTGGGTCTTTGTAAGCTGACTGAGGCTGGGTGCAACAAGTCTGTCCATGTCTGCAGTATGGGTTGAACAAAGCTGAGCTTACACAAAGCCTGTCTGACCAAAGACTGCACTGCGTTTATACAATCTCTTAGTATCTGTGGTGAACATGTGGAATAACGCTCCAGAAAGTAACCCACATCATCCTCTAATAACCACACCAGGGACTCTACCTGGTCTGCACTAAATGGTGGCAAAAATTCATCCCTGCATTCGGGGAAACCAGATGAAACCAACTCAACACAAACCTTAATCAATGGCTGCACCATAGAGAAATCTGTGCCCTGATCTACTAGAACATGAGCGAGCCGTATACATTCTAGCAGTTCATCCCGGGTATACTCCTTCAGAGTCTGATAAGCATATTTTCTGTCATCAAGCACTAGCAGAGATAAATACTCAACCTCATCCAGATCCATCCTTCCCAGCAACAAGCCAAGATGGCTTCCCTGTGCAGCCACTTCTGGTCAGGATTGGCCTTGGTGTAATGTCAGGGCTCCCAGGTGTGACCAGAGGTGTGTGACTGACGCAGGGAAACGCAGACTTCAGATATGTGATAAACAATATAATTTATTAACACTAACCATACAAACATAAACGCAGTGCAATACTAAAACATAATACAGTGCAAAAACAAACCAAACCAACCACCCACAGATAACAGTACATACAATGCAAGCGTCGTCAGGCAGGCCGGGTCAATATCAATAGGGCAGGTAGGTACAGGGGGAGCAAGCGGAGATGGGTCGGGGTCACAGGCCAGGTTCAGCAGGTAGCTAGCAGCGTAGTACAGAGGGTCAGGCAGAGGGATGGTCAGGGTCACAAGCCAGGGATCAGAACAGGTAGCAAGCAGCGTGGTACAGAGGGTCAGGCAGAGGGATGGTCAGGGTCACAAGCCAGGGATCAGAACAGGTAGCAAGCAGCGTGGTACAGAGGGTCAGGCAGAGGGATGGTCAGGAGCGAGCCGGGATCAGAGCAGGAGAAGTCAGCAGCGGTTCAGATCAGGCAGGGTCAGCAAAGGAACAGAAACAGGATGCAGGACAGATACAGGGCCCAGGACAAACACAACACCAAGGCAGAGTCTGCAAGTCTGGCCATCCCTTAAATACACCAGTATCATCAGTTCCAGGTGTTAGCTGGCTGAAAGGTTGAGTCTCTGATTGCTGGGAGCACCCGCTGGCCAGCCCTGGTACTGCAGATCAAAAGGCAGGTGAGTCCCACCATTGCTGGCCAGTCCATTCCTGACAATAATTTTTATTTCATGCACCGGGGCTTATGGTTTCTATGGCTCCCTATTCATGATACAAGTATACTTATCAGCACTTAGGTTAACCCTTGATCTGGTTACTTTATATTATTTAGTGCATACTCCTGTAAGGGAAAATGGAACAGCCATTTCTAGATATAAATATGAAATATATTGGTATTGAATTAGATGGCCTAACAACCTATTTCCCTCTCCTGCTGGCTCAACATTTGGCACTTCACTTCTACTTCTTAGTTACTATAAGGCAGCATTCACACCACCTATTGTCTACAAGATTATTGTCACAGCCTTTGAAGACCTGTTAAACCCAAAGGACACTGGAAGTAACAATAACATGTGAACAACTATTCGCATCTCAATGAGTTACACCAAAGGACACTGGAAGTAACAATAACATGTGGACAACTATTCGCATCTCAATGAGTTACACCAAAGACACAGATGACTCTTCAAAGAAAGATCAGATAGCTAGGTACCACCCACTGTAGAGCATATAAATTGTATTAGAAAGCCCTAGTTAGATAGAGCATTACTTTGAATCCAACACCATGTATTGTTCTGCTCTCCCTGCATGGAGGTCTAGCTACATGCTTGTATAATAAACATCTACTTTTCAATCTGGCTTCAGCAGTCAAAATGTTACTGAAACCCATGAGTTTTGGGTTTCCCCGTCACTCCTAAAATTCCCCTCTCTTGTGCACTATATTTGCATTGGATACCCCTGAGTGGTGTTATCCTCATGGCATCTTATATTACATAGTCGCTCCATAGCATCAAAGAAATTTGGCACCAGTAACTTAGTTTCTGACAGTGCTGGCTAATCGTATTATAGGCACACGGTAAAATGGCGCCCGTGCATGCGCACTTGCGTAATACGGACGCCCTGGCTCCAGCAAAATGGAGCCGTACCAGAGTTATCTATTTGCATTACATGCCCATGGTAAAATGGCACCCACGCAAACGCACTTGGTTAATGCGGACGCCCGTACTCTAGCAAGATGGCGCCGCATCAGTGCGCATGCGCCGGATACGATATATATACATGAGGAGACGGTCACGGCAGTCCTATGCTCTACCTATGAAGAAGTGCGTGCGCACGAAACGCGTCAGATGGAGCCCAGGACGTCGTTGACATTAAGCCGCCGGCACCACGTGGAGGCCCGGCGGCCATCTTGATTTCTTAAGGGGTCAGTGTGTTAATCCATACTTGGCACTATTATGTTTACCATGCACCTATGTTTTCTTAATAAAATCTTTACCTACTATACTATGAGTGCTTCCCTATGTCTCCTGTGAGGAGCTTCTTCAACCCTTACAGCCCTAAGTGATCCCTGTGTCAGCTCCTGTGAAGGGGGAGGCTCATCCAGATTGATCCTTCTCTGACCTGCTGGACCATTCTTTCACCACATGAGGGTGTAGGATTTCCATCTTTCCCAGCTATTCCTATGACCAGACCAGAAAGGAGAGGGGAGTCTTCAGGATATATGTTCACATGCGTATTGCTTATACGCTTTCTGGTTAGTGTGTATTTCTACCGTTTGCACTGGGAATCAAGGAGCACTTTTTCATTGGACTGTGTTTCACTATTACTTCATATCATTTTGTTTATATATTTTAGGGAGTAATTCCACATATACCCATGGCATGTGTGAGCAATAAATCATTTAACTGACAATTTTGTGTAAAAAAAAAAAAAAACTAAAATTTTTTTTGTAATTTTCCAAAAACTTTTGGTAAAAAAATAAATTCTTCTATTGATTCAACATGCCTCTCAGCAAATAGTTTGGGGTGTCTGCTTTCCAAAAAGGGGTCGTTTTGGGGGTGGGGGCATTTTATGCCCAGCATTAGAAGTTATGCCACACATCACTCACTCTTTAAACCACCTGAAGACCAAGCATTTTTTGACACTTTTTGTTCACATGAAAAAAAATCAGTATTTTTTTGCTAGGTAATTAATTTAAACCCACAAACATTATATATTTTTTAAAGCAAACACCCTAGTGAATAAAATGGTGGGTGCTGCAATTTTTTTTATGTCGCATAGTGTGTGCGCATGCGGGGGGCGAGGGTGATTTTTTTTGTTATTTTGATTTTTTTTTATTATTTTTACACTGTCCCTTTAATTTTTTTTATCACTTTTATTGCTATCACAGTGAATGCAAATATCCCCTACAACTTCAATTGGCATTGTCATATATTCTTTTTTGAGAAATCTGGGGTCTATCAAACTCTAGTTATCTCTTCTGCCTTTACATTATCTAATCAAACCAAAATCAGTGTGATCAGATGCTTTCCCAATTTACAAATGGCGCTGCTGTTTATATCCTGCGAAACTGAAGTGATGAAATGCTCGTAGATTTAGATTTCTTAGACTGTAGAGATGATTGGCACAATTTTGGTCTCCAATTAGCTCTATGGTCAGCTGGCAGAAACACCGGCTACATTCTCAGGTTCCCCCGATGGCATGGGACTGCCCAAGAAGGGCGTGGAAGGCAGCAGGGGGAGGGGGGGCATCATCTTCCGATTCTTGTTATAGCAATCCTGCAGCTAATTAGCCAGTAGGATTCCTTTTACATGAAAGCTGATCGCCGGCTGAAAAAAAGTTTGTATGCAGCCTGTGGGCTGAATGAAAAAAAGAGAAGAAATTTCTGCCAGAAAATTGTGGTATGCCCACCATTAGAATATACTGCCCTGCATTCACCCACTTCTAATGATAGACACATATTAGGTCACACAGTGCCATATGCGCCAGTTCCAAGATTGTACAAATGTCTAAACAGTGGCACGCTTGAATAAAAATTGTCCACGTATAAGTGGTACTCCATATGGAAAAAGGATGACACCAAGTCCCAAACTATCTTGCCACTGGTCCCCATGTAGTCTGAGCATCCAGGGGGCTCCACGTGACTATCTTTTCCCTTGTAAATCCGAAAATTATAAGTATAGCATGTTGCCCTCTAACAGGTCTTCTACATCTTGACCCCATATCAGGCACGCTTGCTGGGGAGAAATTGTTTGAATGCAAGGCAGCCAGAAAAATGAACGAGGGACTCATCAACGCAGATTTTTTGCTGCGGAGTATAGACATCTGCAAATTTTTGGTTAAGGTGTTTTACGGGGGGGCTGAATTTTGTGGAGCCTGTCAAATTCATGGTCA